TTCCAGCTTCTATGGCTGTTTTCCCAGATGAAAACTCCTCGAAAACTACAGCGATTTCCTGTATTTCAGCCTCAGGTCTCACATCTTATTTCAGGCATGTATGGAAAGCACATACAATTGAGGTAACACTCTATTTACTTTTGATATAAGACCTGGGAGTTGAGGCTGGAAATACAGAAAATACTATAAATACTCAACTTAATTTGGAAAAATTATTTAATGTACTGTAAAAGCAAGGGAAACTGAACAATAAGGAAGTAGAAACTGCTCTTTTTCAAATGATTATTCACTGTATACAACGAATCAGAAAGCCTTCTATATAACAATTTAATTAAAGAACCTATTACAATGCATAATCATTGACACAAAGTTCAATATCTGGAACATCTGTTCCTGTGTTTCAGAATTTTGATTCTGCAGTCTCAGTAACACACTTAACATTGCAGGGTTTATAGTCCGAAAAGGAAAAGACCCCATTATAAAGGTGGTTCATCAGGAAGCAACTCTTGCTGCTGCACAGAATGAAATTGAAGCTCAAGCACTAAAAGCTGCAACTGTAACTTGCCCGATTTCTAAGAACACTTAATATTTACAGTAGGAAGTTCACTGTCTTTCTCCACGTCATGTTCTTGTTTCCTATACATACAAATTGTCAGCTATTTCAAGTGCTGGCACTCCTAAAAATCAAACTCAGAGCTGAGTTTTGCCACATGTACCTTGAGAGTTTTGCAAGACTGCCACTGACAAACAAGAATTAGATGCTACTGTTTTGGAACAAACTAAACTGTCTAAATATTTAAAGTGCATGTAAGTGAGGGCAAGATTTACAGTCTGTTTCCTTTAAAAAGGACTTTCATACTCTAGATTGGGAAAACAGACCAGCTGATACATATTCTTACACATGAATTTATTCAGACACAAAATACAATGCAGAATTACACAGTTGAAGATTGTTTCACAAATAGTACTCAATTTTAAAGTTGCACAGGCGAGAATAATTCTGCCATTTCCTGACTCTGCAACCTTTATAATGTGGTCTTTTAGAGTTACATCTAATGCAACTTAACTCTACATCATAAGAACTTTTATAAGAAGATATTTCTTTAGATGAACAACATTAGAACAGACTACAAAAACATTTTTGTAAGATTGCATATCAGTGCTTCTGGAAAACCCAATACTGCAAAGACCTTGTCAGTGTTAATTTTATATACTAAGTAGTCATACTGAATTCTTTGCAAGATGATGGGATGAAATTCCCAAGATGATAGCGATTTCCTTTAAAGTTGTGGAAAGATAACAGTATGGAGAGATTAAAAGAGGTCAGTAAAAGTTTAGGAACACTCCACTGAATACTTACACCATCTATACTCCTTCTAGCATGAGGTCCATATGTATCTTCAGACCCTAAAACCTGTATGTTAACTGCACTGTAATCTTCATACCCAAGCTGACTGAAAATAAGACGAGTCCTGCAACAAATGATTATTTTTTTTATTAGTAAACTGCCTCAAAATTATTATCCTGTGTGGTCCACAGGAGTTAGCCCTGTCATGTAAACTGGACTATGAATACTTTACACTAAACAAATATATCTGACTACTACCAATCAAGCAATTTAAAAGCTGAAAGATCATGTCATACCACATTCTCTTACAGTAAGAATTGGAAGAAGGACTGAAGTCAAAGCTTCCTAAAGAGATGTAGTTTCTTGTACAGCATTCTCTGACAGTGATCAGAACAGGTTAACTCTTATTCTATATCTAGGTTGACATACACAAATCTTTCAAACATGCTGAATAAATGATTCTACACATTAAACTCTAAGATTGTGTTTGAGATGGAGAATATATTGATGGGCAATAGTGTATATTGTGATTTTTAAGGCACAGAACAAGCCACAGCTGCTTGGGTCTATAGCAGGATGGGCTGAAGCTTTATATAAATAAAAAGGCCCAAAGAGACAGATCTCATAACTAGAAAGATTGGGGGTATTGGAATAAATGTTCAGAAGTTTATGAGAGGATATGGAAGTATATTTAAGAGGAATCCCTCCTTGTCCAAATGTACTGGCATGACAGAATGACTAAATGCTTATCAGGCTGTGTTACAATTTTAAAATTTTTATAGCAAACAAAATCACTAGTTGCGTTTTACAAGGCACTAAGCTAATTTTGTTTAAAATGCAAACCTGGTAAACTGCCTACATGTCATAGCACTAAGATTTTTGATTAAAAAAGTTCTGTGAAAATCATTGAAAACTAATTTCACATGGGTCTCTCTCCTACATCTGATAAATTTTCATCTGAATCACAGCTTTCCCCCTCATTAATTTGGTTTCTCTCTGCTATCCAGCCATCTATTTTCAACAATATTTGAGACCTTTCTCGCTCTGTCAAATGTAGCCAAAGTGTAGTTAGATGTTGAAAACAGACTTCCTAACAAGGCTACTTAAGTCTTAAAATGTCCTCCCAATTGGAAATTTCAACCTTCTAGGGTTCCTAAAAGGTTAATATGGTTGCCATCATGAGTCACAATTCTATTTTCATGCCCTCTGAAAAGAAAAAGCCAAAACCCTTTCCAAGACTCAAATACTAACCTTTGCAGAATACTTTCCGCAGTGCGTTTTCCTTTTTCTATTGCCTTTGGACCTCCCACTGGACAGACTGCAGTAGCTCTGAAGCCATCAAGGTAAGTGGCATTTACCTACCAATAAAGGGATTGTGAAATGACATGGGATTCAGTACTGGTATGTTATAAATGCTCTCTGACAATCATTATTCACACATTAAGCAGAAGTAGAATAGCAAGAAGCCATTGTCATCACCACAAAATGTTACTCCATGATTTATAATTCTAAATTCTATTGGAGGAAGATTCAAATCTGCAAAACTGACACTCTGAATCACTTCTCATTGTCATCCTTAAGTTCTCCTATACTTCTTTATTTTGGTGAACAGGATACATTCTGACACTGAAAAGCTGAATGATCTATCACAGTGAAATAGATCAGCCCCAAGCTTCCCAGAAGTATTACAGTAAGTGTGGGAAAACATAGCGTGCACACAAAAAAACATGCTGTACATTGCAAACATTCAGCTAATAAGCATTTTACCACTCTTCCAGTGCTACAGCTGCTTAACAGAATTATAATACAGTGAAAGTAAAGACCATAACGCGTGGCCATAAATGGTAGAAAAGCTTTAACAGATATATCTAACTTAACGGTGATGAGCGTTTTCAATATTTGTCACCTTACAGAAAAACAAAAACAGAAATTGAAGAACCTGGTAAGACATTCAGCAAAGCTTTCCAACCAGAAATGCTTTTCCTACAGTAACTTATCAAACACTTTACCCAGTCTACTTTTAAAAGCCAAAAACCCCAGTGTTTCAGCTCTTTATTTCACAGGTAATGTATTTCTCATTATTTTCAATCTGCAAAACTGACACTCCGAATCACTTCTCATTGTCATCCTTAAGTTCTCCTATACTTCTTTATTTTGGTGAACAGGATACATTCTGACACTGAAAAGCTGAATGATCTATCACAGTGAAATAGATCAGCCCCAAGCTTCCCAGAAGTATTACAGTAAGTGTGGGAAAACATAGCGTGCACACAAAAAAACATGCTGTACATTGCAAACATTCAGCTAATAAGCATTTTACCACTCTTCCAGTGCTACAGCTGCTTAACAGAATTATAATACAGTGAAAGTAAAGACCATAACGCGTGGCATCAGAAAGCCTTCTATATAACAATTTAATTAAAGAACCTATTACAATGCATAATCATTGACACAAAGTTCAATATCTGGAACATCTGTTCCTGTGTTTCAGAATTTTGATTCTGCAGTCTCAGTAACACACTTAACATTGCAGGGTTTATAGTCCGAAAAGGAAAAGACCCCATTATAAAGGTGGTTCATCAGGAAGCAACTCTTGCTGCTGCACAGAATGAAATTGAAGCTCAAGCACTAAAAGCTGCAACTGTAACTTGCCCGATTTCTAAGAACACTTAATATTTACAGTAGGAAGTTCACTGTCTTTCTCCACGTCATGTTCTTGTTTCCTATACATACAAATTGTCAGCTATTTCAAGTGCTGGCACTCCTAAAAATCAAACTCAGAGCTGAGTTTTGCCACATGTACCTTGAGAGTTTTGCAAGACTGCCACTGACAAACAAGAATTAGATGCTACTGTTTTGGAACAAACTAAACTGTCTAAATATTTAAAGTGCATGTAAGTGAGGGCAAGATTTACAGTCTGTTTCCTTTAAAAAGGACTTTCATACTCTAGATTGGGAAAACAGACCAGCCGATACATATTCTTACACATGAATTTATTCAGACACAAAATACAATGCAGAATTACACAGTTGAAGATTGTTTCACAAATAGTACTCAATTTTAAAGTTGCACAGGCGAGAATAATTCTGCCATTTCCTGACTCTGCAACCTTTATAATGTGGTCTTTTAGAGTTACATCTAATGCAACTTAACTCTACATCATAAGAACTTTTATAAGAAGATATTTCTTTAGATGAACAACATTAGAACAGACTACAAAAACATTTTTGTAAGATTGCATATCAGTGCTTCTGGAAAACCCAATACTGCAAAGACCTTGTCAGTGTTAATTTTATATACTAAGTAGTCATACTGAATTCTTTGCAAGATGATGGGATGAAATTCCCAAGATGATAGCGATTTCCTTTAAAGTTGTGGAAAGATAACAGTATGGAGAGATTAAAAGAGGTCAGTAAAAGTTTAGGAACACTCCACTGAATACTTACACCATCTATACTCCTTCTAGCATGAGGTCCATATGTATCTTCAGACCCTAAAACCTGTATGTTAACTGCACTGTAATCTTCATACCCAAGCTGACTGAAAATAAGACGAGTCCTGCAACAAATGATTATTTTTTTTATTAGTAAACTGCCTCAAAATTATTATCCTGTGTGGTCCACAGGAGTTAGCCCTGTCATGTAAACTGGACTATGAATACTTTACACTAAACAAATATATCTGACTACTACCAATCAAGCAATTTCCACCATCAAAACCTATAGTGGTTAAAAAAAAAATAATCAGTATTTAAGCTTCTTCAATAAAACTTCAAAGACATTCTTTTGTGATACATATTAATCAAATGCACGCAATTTAAAAGAAAATCATTGATAGCTGTACTGCCACAGAAGAGAGAACCTTTTACAAAACAGTCCTCCCTGTCTCAGAAACACAAACAGCAAATTGGTGTCTAAATTTATGACTTCAATGAGCCTTTTAATAGAATGCTTGAAATGTTTATTCATGCACTTAAAAAAAACTTAACCCAGAGAGCAGCTTTAGGACTTCAGACCCCACAGTTATTTTCCACTTAACAGCCAGTTACTGAACACACACATAGAACATTCAATTTACTGTCGCTGACTGGAGTAGAGTGCAGTCCTTCACTTGGGAAAGAAACAACACAAAAAAGATGAGAAACCAGCGAGAAGTTGTTTGTTGATAGCTGAGTAAGAGAAGGGATAACTTAACTTTAGCCTTGTTGTCAATAACAGAAACAGAACAACCTGAATGTGTGTTCCAGGGCAACTACGATGTTCAGCATTAGAAATATTAATGACAAAAAGAACATGGAGAAAATTGCTGCCATGGCATCAGGCTCAAGCTTGAACTGGAGAAAAATCAGTAAGTGCAAGTCCTTGAAAATTAGCAGTGCAGGATCAAAACCTCCTGTCAGACAGACACAATTATACTGTAGTTCACCTGTAGGTAACCTGTGCTTGCAAATATTTAGGAAGCGGTTCAAAGCTTTACACAAATACTCTGAGGAGATCAAATCAGAACATTATCTGAAAAAGTGAATGTGACTCGCAGAAATGTTACATGACACTCAAATATCATCATCACTCTCTCTGCAAGACTGACATCAGGTTAATTTTACTCTCTCAATACAGAACAAACTCCCTACAATCAGGATGAAAAACCAGAAGTTTCATGTTCCAAGTGAAGGAGTAATATGAAGAAAAAAAACACTGCAAAACAAAACGTACAGCATCCATTGACAAAAAGAAAACAGAAGCACCTCTCAGTTTAAACACTGCAAGTAATCCAGCAGGACAATAAAATCGGCAATGTAAACAAGCAAAAATAGATAGCTTGCCTGTTCTTACTGCTGTACGTGTCAAAGCACTTCAAACTAAAAATACTTAAGAAATCTGCCCATTTTCCATCTGTTATATTTCTAAGAGGACTAACTGAAAGTTCATGTGAAAGTTCATTTTGAGTTCAAACATGTCATATCAGGTCATTCGCAAGCTAAAAGTTCACAGGAAGGTTAGGGTGGTTTTTTTTTTTTAAAAAAAAAAAAAAAGCCTAGTGGCTAAAAGCATCGAGCTGGCCTTATCACACGGCCATTTGGTTATGTTGCACTAGCACAAGGTTCACCCTACAATTTTAAGGTACTTTTATTATTGAAGCAAAATATTTTTGATGCTACAGTGTTTTGAATTTTATCACAGTAATTTTTGAGATTTCAGTTGTTCTAAGTTTTATGAAGACAATATACTGTCGCAGACAAGTTCCATTAGAATGAAAAAGGATATATAATACAGATGCAGTAAAAAACAAACTTTAAATGACTGCAGCTAAAAATTTTTTTTCCAGCTGTCTTATCCAATCTACTGATCTCCAAATCTGTAAAAACCCTAGGGTTTTTTTCTTTGTTTTGTTTTTAAAGCTAAATCCAGAACATGTGTTATACCCATCTCTATTCTACTGGCTGTTGAGTTTTGAGGACAGCAAATGGACTTTTTCAAACAGAGATTCTCTGGTAGAACTCCTGTACCTAAGCACGCTTCTATCATTTAAGATGATCCACCTAAATGTCTAAGAAAAATATCAGTACCAAGTAGTGCTTTGAAAGATTCAGCTTTCCATTTTTACTAATATTTCAAATGCCATATGTGAAAACATGTACAAACATACATTTTTTTGGAGCAAAGAAACTGAGCTGCAGTAGTTACTACTGAAATTGTAGTGGAGCTGTCTCAGTGTCACTCACACAGAATACACACTAAAGACTTGGTAGATGCAAGGCATGCATTAAGAAGTAAAGCAAAAGGAGTAGTGATCAAAGATTTACATTAGTCAGCCAGCAAGATAAATAAGGCTATGGTTAAAATTTCTGAAGGAATTTCCAGCAAAAGTCCTTGAAAAAAAAGTCCTTTTCACACTCTAAAGAACAGATGTAACAAGAAATATGCAGAGAAAACATGGAAATTAAAGTAACTGTTTTACTTAAATAACCCTGTTGATTGACACAGCTCTCAACATGTAAGAGGACTAACCTGGAATTTCAGTGATGGAAACTTCCGAAAAGTCACATGTGACATCTGGTAAAAGATAGCGCTGAGGATTGCCCAATTCATACACCAACTGTTCAGCTACAGTGCCAAAAGAGATTAGTCCCCCTGTGTCTGGTGGTTTAGAAAGAATAAATTCTCCTTCAGAGGAACATTCTACAATGGGAAAGCCTATGTTGTGCCTAGAATATGAAAAACATTGAAAAAACCCTATCAATATGAAGGTAAAGCGAAAAGAAAAATGAGTTACAACAAACAGAATTTTATGGTAATGACTAATTAAATAAAACTTATCAAGAGTTATAACATATCTAATTATTTCTGCAGAAACATACGCAAGAAAAAGCAAGGAGCAAACTGCTTAACCAAAATAATAAGAGGATGTACTTTATTGCCTGGGAAAGGAGTGCAGATATAACAACAGATACCAACAGTTAACAGACAGAACTGGGGAAGGGAATGGAGAAGGACACTAACAGAAATGGTTAAAGAAAAAAAAGAAGCCAAAAGTACTAGCAGCAGACACAGCACGAAGGTTAAGACATTTAAATGCATCCTGCTCTCTTGATTTGTAAAAAGGCAGTCAAAGCAGGAAGAACGCTGTGCTGGAAGCCTTGGAGATGAAGGGAAGTAGGAAACAGGAATAATCACACCTATTAAAGGACAATTTCACATATTAATAATGAATTATACACAGAAAAGTTATGATCAAAAACCAAAAGATAAATGAAAGTTAAGATCTTCAGGCCAAAACAATAATGAGACAGAATGAACTGAAAATCAGGAGGCATAGCAAAAAGAAGAGCAGTAAAACAGAAAAATATAGACAAGTTTCTAAATGAAAATATTCTTCCTCCTCACATTATCACAAAAGTAGTATACCGAAATTGATCAAACAACTCATAGTAACAGGCACTGCCAGTCATTACATTAGAAGGGCAGAATTTTCTGGGTTACGTGGACAAGATCCATGTATCTGCTTTCCCTGCTAAAAGGGTTTTCTTTTATTTACAGAGAACGAGCAAAAGCAGTAACTTTAAGAAAAAAAAAAAGTACCTGAAAATTAAAAGAGACTTAATATTCTTCTAGAAAGGCAACCTGGCTCACTCGTCTGTCACAAGAAGTTGGTTAATTTGTGCAAGTGAAGTGTCTCAGAGACACACAAAGAACACAAAAAAGGGGATTTAAGGACATACAGCCCCTTTCAAAAGCAAAGCTGTTCTAAAAAGGCCTCCTAATAAGGAAAGGTGGTGAACATCACCGTTCTTATTAAAGTCAATGACCTTCAGGTCCTTCGTACTTACTTAAAATCAAGTCCATCCTGAAAGTAATTATTTTTGGGTACTGGTGGGAACAATGTGCTGAACATACAACCAAATTGGTTATCAGCAAAGGTTAGATGAACATAGTTTGTATAACATAAATCCACAAAGTTTTGAAGGAAGTAAGCAAAGAAACCAGTGAACTCTTAAGTGACTTTTGTAAAAGTTCATGGGAGTTTGAACAGATTCCTTATCATTGGGAAGCTTCAAACATAACCCCGTTATTTAAAAAAAAGGATTAAGAGACAAGCTGTGTTACCAGAGATCAGCAATTTTAATACTGATAATGTAGAAAACTTTGAAAGCATGGTAGCTGGAGGACACCTAGAAAAGCCCATGACCAGTCAGTAAAGACTATACTTCATTAGATTTTGAAACTATTTAAACCACTAAACTGATAAAGGAAAACAGACCAAAAAAACCCACCCCAATGAATACAAAGAATTAGATGGAATCAACAATTTTTTTTATACCAGTTATCCTAGAGTTTTTTTGAGGGGAAGAGGAGGAAGAAAAGACCGGGACAAGAAGTATGCAACATTCAACATTTGAAAGCGTGACATCAAAAAGAAACCAACACTCAAAAAACCTCTCAATTCTTGGTCTTGAACATTATTGAAGGGTAACAGACTAACATAGGTAATTATCCCAATTTTACAGGGAAGGAGACAGATACAGGAAGCACCATGATTTTCCCACTGTTACACAGCAGTATCAGTGACTGAACAAGGCTAGAATTAAGGAGCTTTTACCCTCTTGGTGCCACCCTTGCGTGCTTTGACCCTACCATCTATCCTATCCATCTTGGCTTAAGGCAACAGCAGCGGGTGCCTTGCAAGCAGGCTCAACACAGCTTATTCGAATCACTTCCCCTAAAGTTAAATCACTTCCATCAAGAAAGATTAGTTAGTGCAGTCTATCCCACTGCACTGACACCCAGTATCCTTGCTGCAGCCCACTTTCATCTAAGTCACCAGCACATGCAACTCTTACCACACATTCCCGCATCCACTCCCCCATGATCTTTGTTTTGAAGGAAGAAAAGGTAAACTGTAGACACTCAACTTTCTACTCTGAACAACTGAATCTATTAACATCAAACTTAACTTTGCCCAAGCTCCACTTTCAAAAGACCTGAACCATTTAAAAAAAACAAACCGCAACAATATAGTGAGGCAAACAGAGAAATTTCCCCCCCTAAAAGGCTTAAAAATTGGCCAGCACTTAAGTCATTAAAAGCAGACCAATGATGGAAGACAGCAGATAAACAGTATCAATATAAACAACACTATTATTCAGGTCCCTTAGTATACAGAAGGAAGAAGAGACTCCTATTTTCCTATAATCTTAGGGCCAAAGTGAGAAGATGCTGATGGTGGAATTTTTTATGCTGCCAGAGCAGCTGGAAGGAGGCCACAGAGGTACAAATGTACTTTCTGGAATGGCTTCTAAATAGCCTCCAAGGTTGAGACATATTTGCTATATTAAACTTGCAGCAAAGTGTTGACCCAAAGCTTGTAAAAAAAACTGTAAGAAAAGAGATTCTAATACACAAAAAACACCCCCAAAATAAAAGCAAAAAACCCACACACACCCCCGCAAAAAAACAAAACCAAGAAAAGCTCCAAAGCACAAAGGGTAAAAACAAAAGTCTTCCTAGGAAAGCATGTTGACACAGGACACTAGCATGACCTAGCACATTAAGAATTTTTAGCTCTATTTAAAAGATTCGGAACCCTGAAGATCAATGAAAAGAACACTGAAGTCAGTGACTTACTCTTGGGTCATCTCCTTCATTGTTACTCTTGTTTCAACAGCTAGTGAAGGTATCAAAGAAGGCTTTTTGCCTTCACCTGAGACAAGCATGAGGGATGTCTCCTCCTCCAGCTCCACCACCATCCAATGAACTTTCCTGAATGCTCAGTTAATTGCAGCACATGTGCGTTCTCCCAGATCACATCAGCTCTAAAAGCTTCCATCACTTTTTAACAATTGAAAACACAGTGATGTAATGAATTGAGAAAGAAGCCCCTAGACTCCACCTGTATTGTAACTGGATGGCTGGGAAAATATCTTATACTACCTCATAGCAGATGCCAATAATAACCTACATTAACATATGCATGATTAAGAGAAAAATGAATTTTGCATACTGCTAGAATACATTACTTAAAATTAATTTTCAGCTTCGAAAGTAACTGGGCTAAGTCACCCCTATGGCACAATTCAGTCAAGTGACAGGTACTTAAACCTGGTGTTAGAGCTCACTAACAGCAATAGCAACCTGGTCGGAGTATTCTAACACATAGCACAGGTACCACAATCACACCATCACCTGGATCAACACTTCCACTGAAATAAGTGACTCAATGTGAATTCATTAATGCAAATTTGTAAGTGACTCAGTGTGAGTTAACAGCTAAAGCAGGTCCTCACTAATTACAGCACAGGGGTAACAAAGTTCCAACGCTGGTTTTGCTGCTGAAGCCCCCTTCTCATCACCCACCTACAGCTGCTGCCCTTTACTCTAATAGGAATCAGGCTCTGAAATTGAGTCTCCTGTCAGTTCTCTGCCTGCCAAGGACTTATTCCTGGATTAATTTTTTCCATGTAAAATGCTGTTTTTCCTTCAGTTTTGGCTCTCAGAAATGTTAGGGTTTACATGCATGTCACAGGTGATAACAAACAGTTTAAGCAGAGGTCTCCTGTCTATTCTGGGATAATGCACTTTTCAACCTTGGTGTAGCTAAGAAGGTAGCCTTCCTTGTTGCTTTGTCATATACCTTACACCATTTGCATTACAAAAAAAAAAAAAAGTACTGGGTCCTGTTTGGCTCCAGGTGAAAGACATTGTCTGAGATGAAATGGGCATTTCCTCCTTCAAAAGGTGCCAAACCTCTCAAGAATCTCATTCTGGCCACTACTAGTAGGCTGAGGAAATTACTGGCAACAAAGATGGGATGATTAGTGTAGTACATTTACTTGCAGGGGAAGATGCTGCAAGAAAGAAAACAAGTCACAGCAATGCATGTGACGTGGAAGTGAACCAGGGTCCAAGTGGGCTGTGGTATGAACTTTTAGCTTTACAGTTAATGCAGTTTCCTGGGATGTTACTCAATTAGTGTCACACTGAGGAGAGCTCTAAGCCAAGCTTCTCAACTCCCTGGACATTTATTCTAACCGCAATGCTACTAGGCAAAAAGTAGGAAGTGCTACCACTTCTAGCAGTGTTTTTACAACCAATTCAAAACTGCTACTGTGTGTCAGGCAAGATCAGCACAAACTTATGGGTAAGGTATATGCATCTCTTACACATAGGTACTGACATGGTTCCCAACTTCTGCTGCAATTCTGATTTAGGCAAAATTTATTGATTGCATCATTTATCTCGTCTGACTAGGACATTTCAAGTATGCATTGTATGCAAACTCTTAACAACTAGATGATTTCAGATCAATCAGGCTGCCTGGTGTATTCACATGCCTGGAATAAATGGTACTACAGAGGAAAAGGCATTCTACATTGCCGACTGGGACTCGCATGCTGGATTCTGTTCAAGTCCCAAATTAAGCAATCTGGATAGAGCCTTTAAGAGACTACAGCTATTGACTTACCCTTTTGGTCATCCCAGGCCAGAGGATTAGGCAGTCTCAACCATTGTACACTCTTGGCTTAGGGCAAAATGTCAGTGTTTATCATCTCCTCAAAATGATTACTCTACTGATCAGCATTAGTTTATTCTCTCCTGCATTTCAAAACAAAACAAAACAATGTACTAATCACCCACTGGCACTAAGTAACAGTGAAAGAGAGCAACGTCTGGGGTTAAATGAAATTAAATACAGAGCTGTGGATTACCAATATAGTTCTGGCATCACGGTTCATTTTGATGTGCTGTGTGAATTCCCTATTGAGCGCTGTGCACTAGACATTAAACAGGGAGCAGTGATGAATTATCACTTCTTCTGACCATCTGCTGACTTATATTCCTATTAAAATAACAGGAAAAGAGCATCTTTTTGATAATATTTACTTTAAAGTCAGTCATTTAAGAATGCACATTAGTCTTCTATAAACTGTGAACTGATGGTTCCTTGCATTTTCTCTACCAAACATCAGAGAACTCACACAAGAGGCGGCTCAAGCAGCCTTCCTCTCACTGGAAGAGTACACGGCATCTATCCCATCTACCTGTCTGACCATTTTCGTGAAAACTGGATGAAACTTTACAGCTTCAAGACTCCCGTCTTTAAGTCACATACATTATGGAGATACACCCAGGACAATTAAAGAAATCCCACTGCCTTAGGTCAGCAGACAGAAATCAGTTGTTTGGTTTCTATGAAGTAGAGTAATTTGGAGAGTCATGAGTTGGAATATGCACTTTATTTGTTTTACATTAAAAGCTTACTTCACCAAGACAACAAAAAAAAAGAAGAATAGCCCAAGTTTTAATAGCTAACAATCCAGTGGCCACAATGAACATTCCTGAGACTTAAAGCATCCTTTTGCAGTGGAACTGAGTTCCCAGAAGCAGTCTGCATCAAACATTTCAAGAAAAAAAAAAACAACAAACCACAAACTAAAAAACTGTGTTGAATGAATGAAGTGGGTCCAATCAAATGCCTCAATACTCAGAGACATGGTAATATGTGCATGGAACATAAGCTCTGACTTGCTTGGCTTTACTTAGTTTAAAGTGCTCTTGCTTACATAGTTAATTATTTTTACTTACACATAAACAATGGACAGGTAAGGTTTATAAGCCTAAAATGTGATAAATTCTTTTTTTGTTCAGAAGTTAGAAAAACTTACACCCATCAGTCCTTCTTAGCAGTACACTTACACATTTTTCAGCTGCAAAAGACAGAAGAGCAACATAGACTACTCTTCTCAGGGAGAAAAAAAAAAAAAAAACAAAGACAGTTAAAAAATAACTAAGTGACCTGAGTCTAATCATAACCAATGCAATGCATTGACCCTCTGCAATAAGATGTAAGAGAGCGACTGCCATCTAGCGTTTATAATTCTAGAGATTTTCATAGCGATTCTATGAAAAAAAAGTGTAGTCACCAGAGAAGAGCATAAATGCTGTAAAAGGCTGTCTTAACCTCCAGCGTAAAGGTCCAGTAAATGTTTGCAGAGCAGAGTGGTAAGTGGTCTTGGCTGCACGATCGCACTCACAGCAGTGAGAAATTCCTATGTGAAAGACACTTTTAACGACAAACACAGAGATTTGATTTGGCCTCTTCCCCCCTATCTACTGACTTTTTTGGGCTGGTTTGGATTTAACATTATGTATCACAGACACTGTGATTTATTGAGATCTAAATTACACACACTTGCTTTCAGGAGACTGCTAAAAATGTAGCTTTTCCTAAATGAGGGAAAAATCAGTAACAGACTATAGTCAAGTAACTTCTGCAAGTTCTGTCAGAGCTCAGCTGACCTATTAGGAATACAAGTAATGTTGGTGACAGCAGGGATTGCGTGTTTTGGTCATTATAGAGGCTATGAATTATCATATTATTATTGTGCATTATTATGCAATGCATTATCTGCACGCATTGAAAACAGATTCAGACTCTCTAAATAACAAAACCCCCGCACCATCATGTTTCTTTAACTTAAGGAGTCAACAGGTTACTACTAAGCTATCAAATGGAAAATGGATTTTTCTGCAGCCCAAAAGCATCCATAATATTACCTCTTCATGCATTTGGGCCTAACATAGTAAACAACTATTTATCAGGGCTGGGAAGAAGGCAGAAAAGCTCTCCAACAAATCTCATCCCTCTTTCCTTTCTCCGGTATCTTAAATGGATATGCTGAATCACAAGTTCACTTTCGTCAGTCTTCTACTCTGCTACTCTGCCTCTCCAAATACAAAATTAAAGGTCACACATTATTTTGGCCTTGAATAGTTTTAGGAGCTTATCATGCAAACTAACACGTAACATGCTTTTGTTTATAGAATTTAATCAATTAAATCCCTAAGACTTCTTGAATTTTCAAACAAAACCACTAGGTTTAAGGCATCATGATTAATTCTTTAGTAGACTTAACCTGAAGGTAAATAAATTACTGTTATATTAGCACAAATACAATATGCATGCTTCAGAAGTATGTATGCAGATCAATGGGGACAAGGTAACAGAGCAGTATCAGGTGCTAACCTTCTGTATTCTCTACTCGTGATTCAAGTTAGCACCAGTTAGCTCTAGGCCACAAAACTACTATGATATTAGACAAAGTTATATGATTTTTACATATACACATACATGAGTATTAGTTCTGCATATCCAATGTACGTATACATGTCTGTAAAATTAGCTACTCCCAATCCAGTAGCTCATAGCTTGATATACTCAAACTTCCTTTTTTTTCTTTTTAAACCAGACTGCCATGTCTCACAGAAAAATCCTTAAAAAAAAAAAGGACTACCAAGCATTTTAATAAGAAAATTAGTATTCTGTTTTTTTTTTTCTTTTGGTCTTTTATAAAGCAAGGTCCTCTGGAGTCACATAAGAAGTTTCACGATAAAGCATAATAAAATCATCAGGAGATACATCAGAATAAGATTAGCAGCTATAAATTTCCAAAGTGAACAGAGTGTCTCGTTACTGTAAACCCTCTCATTGGATTTGCCATTGAACACAACAGTGAAGACTGAGTGCAGTTTGTTCAGGGCTACTAGCCTTCTAAAGGGTGAAAAGAAATGCCTGACCTCGTTTCTTTCAATGCCATACGTGCCTTCACCTGTAAATCAGCAGTGTTCAGGAACTCAGAAAAGCAGACTACATCTTTCAGGATCATGCTCTGAATCAGAAACAGTCACTACAAGGAGGACAAAAAAGCCTGGCAGCCCTGGGGAAGGAACTCAGGAGAGTGGCTCTCAGATTGCAGGGCACGAGGTTCTGCCGGTTCACCCACCTGGACTACAGGCTGCCCCCAGCAGCCTCCTTCCCAGGGTCAACTGGGGAGCTGGAACACACACGATGAAAGACACCTTTCTCTCCTCCATCTCTCCCACTGTTCTTCAGCCCTTTCCTCCATCACATAAAGGACACACTGCCTTTCTCGTAAGAAGGCACCGGACAAGATTCCTCCCACTCATCCGAAGGAAAATCCAACTGCAGCCAGAATCCCTCATCCTATGCAAAGCACATTCCCTGACTGCTTTTAAACTACTCTTAAAACCAAGTTGGTAAAAAGCAGGCTACGTTAGTCCTTCCTCAGCAGGCAGAAGGACTTACCTACCTGAAAGTCTAATTCAGTAGGTCTGAACACAAGATACACATGTAACTTTTTGGAAGGACGGACAGCCCAACACATTTGTGGAGATCAAGTCATACAGCAGGAGAGGACCAACCATGGCATACATTCATCCCTCCCAAACCAAATTATATAGAATTTGTGACTGAGTTGTAGGTGGCTCTGATCTAAGTGAAGACTGATGAAAGAGCATCCAAACTACGCATGCTGACTTTTCCATTACAATCATACATGAAAGCCAGTAATAGATCTTTGCCAAAAGCAGATGACAAAAAAAAAAAAAAACCAGCAAAAAATAATCTCAAGGAAAAAAATCAAAGAGCTATTTTTTTTTCAAATCATCTGCTCCTTAAGTTAACAAAGAAAGCCCCAAGTTGGCCAGAAAGGAAAACTGCAATGGGGAGAATAGACCTTGTAGAAGAGTAACATTAAGGCAGAAAAATATCAAGAGGGCCGTATTGCCTCCCTCAAAAATAAAGTAGAAATAGTTTTCATAGCAGATGTAATAGGAAACTTCATCTTTTGTCCTCTACAAACATACATGCTGATGTGCTGGTTACCTACCAGTCTGGCACGGCATGCCAATCCGTGAATATTCCACCTGTGCATTGAGCACCACATTCAATGAGATGACCTGCAAGGCTGGGAAAATGGCATTCGAATAACTAAATATTCTGTGAAATCAAGTTTCACAAATCAAGCTTTAAAATATAATAGTACAACGGAAACAAAGCTAAATAACAGAATATACTAATTTTCCTCCATATGCATCTAATACATTTATAAACTACGCATGAAACATAACAACGGGTTCTGAAAGATGAATATAAGAGTTGAAAGGAGTAACTTTTACATGAAGAATCAAATTAATTTCCTGAAAAATATTAACACCTAAAAGATTATTTGACACCAAAAAGAAAGTTTCATTGGTTATTTCAAGAAGTCTTGATCTAAATTCACTATCTTAGCATTCTGCATTGCATGTAACTAAATATGCAAAGCTCAGTTTTAAATCAAAGATATATAGGATCTCACTTCTTATATGAAGGAAAATCTGTATTATGATTATGTATTATGATTTTCAAATCTTTCATTGTGATAGTCCATAAACACTCAACAGAATTATGGGGGAAAATCTCTGTCTCTTTTTGATGCCCAATTCAGTGGAGCTGGAGTTTCTCTCCACATTCTCATGCAACAAGAGGTCAAAGCAAATTACTACTCAGTGTACCTGGGTTACCTAACTAGTCACTCACTTTGATGGACTTCAGTGCAGTCAGACAATGCAGAATGTTAATCTAGGTGACAGAGTTTTACCATATGCTTTCTGCACCAGACCTAACCTTAGGAGTTACAGTTCACACCTAGGGTTTGCAAATGGGAGTACTGAACTGAGCTTCTGCAAAACCATACAAGTATGCTGACCTCTCACTGAATCTCCTGTGCATCTTTGAGGATAAGACCTGCTACCATCTCAACTATCAACAGTGATGGCCAAACAGAAAAAGCTGGGAATCACTCGTCTGGGCTGTAAAATTTCATCTCTTGAGAAAAAATAGACACAAAATGGACAGGAAGAGAAAATTAAACTGTTGAATTAAATCCTTCACTCCTTTCCTCATTTTGTTATTTTAAGTGTGGTACAGAATGAAGTTTCGATAAATTCAATTCCAAGTGAGAATATTAAGTGAGCCTTAAAAAAGAATCCAAAACCTAACGAAAACATTCAAATTTGAATGTTTTCGTTAGGTTTTGTTTTTTGTTTTGATTCAATATTCAATTCAGTAATAATATGCAAAATCACAAAGTGGTCAGAAAGTTGTATCATGTCATGACAACAGAAATTTACCCATTTTTTCTTATATCATTTACCTTCCTGCAGCTAGCAAGTCAAATTCATCTCTATTCCAGCCAAACTAGAAGAAAAATACAAATGTTACATATATAACAGTTTCATATAGTACAGAAAACTGCATGTAGTATGTTCACTGCTTTGAGTAACAATGCACTGGATATATTTAACTGCAGAAACCTAAAGAACAGTAGGTGCTGTATGTGGATTCCAGTTGCTATACAGTTAATTAGTAAAAGAGCTCTGCTGTATTTCAGTTTTTTTTATTAATACACCCAAACAAATATAAATTCTCAAAAACCCGAAGTGTAATATTCGTATTACTCAAAATTTGCATAACCTAACACCTATTTTGTGGCATGTAAACAATCCACTATGTTTTTTCAGCTTTTGAAAATTGTCAGTTCCTGCAGTACTACCAGTCATCCTTAAAAACTGGAGGCATGTTTTCTGTTTAACTTGAAATTATTTTTCCCCCAAGTTCAACACAGTGCATTATGTGCAATATATTAATTGTTTCTTATTTAGAACTGGGTAGAAAACTCCCTAAAACCTTTCAATAAATTAGATAAGGAGGCTTCTCTGGAGCAGAGAATACACACTGACAACTATTGTGAGAACGTAAACAGCAAGGAATAAACTAATGAGTCATAATGGCAATTATAAATGGGAAAGTTTAATGCTAGATTAGAATCATACAACAGTTTGGGTTGGAGGGGACCTTTAAAAGTGATCTAGTCCAATCCCCCAGCAATGAGCAGGAATATCTTCAACTAGATCCAGTTGATCAAAGCCTCATCCAACCTGACCTCAAACGTTTTCAGGGACGGGGCATTCACCACCTCTCTGGGCAACCTGTTCCAGTGTCTTACCACCCTCACAGTAAAAAATTTCTTCCTTATACCTAGTCTAGATATACCTTCTTTTAGATTAAAAGCCCTATCCTATCGCAACAGGCCCTGCTAAAAAGTTTGTCCCCATCTTCCTTATAAGTTCCCTTCAAGTACTTCATACTCTAAGTCAGAAGAGTATGATGTTTTAGAAAGGATCTTTGTAACTAGACACTAACACGTACCCTTATATTTTATTTTATTTTTTAAATACGCACCAAAAGAAAGGTTCTATATTTCACATTGTGTGGTCACTCACAAAAATGTACAACCTGTTCAAAATACTTCAGAAAACCACATATCCTGCTTGTATAATTTGTTGAAATTCAAGGAATTTGAGAAACGTTGCACTGAAACCAAACTACTTAAAATAAAACTGCTTACCCATTGAAAACCAGCAGTGCTTTAGACCACCTCACATGCCTATCCCCCCCCAAAACCAGAATTCTATATTGCCACCTTGTGGTAGAGAAAAATATACTTGTTTCTTTACACACCAAACTTTAAAGCAGGAGGGGAAAGTAAGAGTGAAATACTGATGACACATGGTAAGGCTTCCTTGACTTCATCGAAATGCTTTCCAGCTTCATGATACACAACTTCATGAATAACCCCGGTATAAGACTAGAAGAAGTGAAAACTCACAACTTTTCATGCATGTAAGGAAAAAAAAAATAAGGTGCTCATTATTTTTAATTTAGTCTCTATATTTTCATAAGGAACAAATCTGAAAATTATTCATTTCACTATGTTCATTATCATACAGAATTAACTTGTACTTACAGAATGAATAAGTGGTCCTAATACAATGCCACTGTCAACACATCTCCCCGTCACAACAATATCAGCTCCAAGGTCAAGAGCCCTGCTTATTGGTCTTGCCCTGAAGATGACAAAACACAACAGTTAAGTACTTCCACTTTTTAAAGCATCATTTAAAGAAATCAGTTCCCTGCCACACAAAGGATGGAAATCACTTAAAAATCCTGTAGGAAACCAATAAAATCAACTTTAGCAACCAGTTTGTCATTTTGTACCTACAAGAAAAATATTCTAAAAAGCAATGATCACAGCACCCTATCAAACTCAGGCACCTAAATGACATGAAGCTCATAGAAACTCTTTCAATTAAGACAAGTGTCTCAAACATAGCACATAGAGGGTTACGTCTATCATCAATAACAGAAAATAGTGTTTTTCAGAGGTTCATTGCTCATTTCATTTGTAGGTGAGTGTATAAAGACTAATATTCTTCAGATAGAAAGCCTGGTGACTTTGCCTTCCAATTCTAAATCTTTTAGGTCAATTTCCATAAACATTTTTATAACTTGCAATATCAACTAACTTCAAGAAGAGAAACTCAGGCAACAGATTTTACAGATTGATCAGGCAAGAGTCAGCCCAGTCAAAATTAGTCAGGCTTGAAAGTATTCACCCAGCTGAACTGCTCAAGTTTATACACTTTAGTAAGCAAGCTTTGACCAGAGTGTGTGGCTCCTGGCTTCTAAACCCATGCTATCTGCTCCTTCCTTCTATTCTTCCTGAAATCGGCAGCTTGAAAACACAAACCACGTAAACCATAAGCCCTGAAGAACAAAACCAAGGAGCAGTGTTTTTCTACAGTGTCTATAGACTTAGCCCTGTTTTTGTTAGAAGACACACAAGTTTTCTTAGTGATGTAAACATAAAATGCAAGTATGTGTTTTTGTTTGGCAATGCTACAGGAACCAAAAGATACCAGCTAGAACAACAAGCAAATATACAGCATACAGAAACAATTTACATCTCTAGGCATAGTGTTAAGTATCAGCCACTGGTAAAAAGCACAAATGGGGTTTCTGCATCACACATACAGTATACGGACAGAAAAACTGTAACTATCTTTAAAAGGCAGTAAACAAAGCCAACTGGGTCTAACTGTTAAAAATGAACTCAGTCCACAGAACTCCTAACGACCCAAATCAGAAGAGACAGACCAAACACTTCAGGATTGATATCCCAATGCAAATTTTTCAGATGGAGCTTACACACTTGGATCAAGAATCAAGCTGTAAACATCATCAGATTTGAGAAATTAAATGTGAATTATCTACAGATTTTACCTAATACACTCTGATGTTGACTTGTTTTACGGGCATCTATAAATTTATCATTTGCTTTATGAATAAGCTTCCATTGCTGATGCTATCAAAGAAAAATGCAACTTATGAAATAACTAATTAAAGAAGCTGGCAAGAGCTTTACATTTCAATGCAACTGAGATTAGGGGTCCTATAAAGAAACAGCACTTTTATTAGAAAATGAAGAGGAAGAGTCTACTGTTCTAGCATCTGCTAATGAAGCAGAAACAGAAGTAATAAATTTTTAAAACGCCTCATCCTCATACTAGCCTGCTTTTGTCCTCTCTGCTTTGATTTGCATTGCTTTTTAAATTCATGAATAAATCATGAATCACCAGAATTGGAATGAACACTTTGTCACAATTACAAATCTTTAACAGTATTTCTTAGATTTCATTTACAGTTACTCATGATCTGCAAATGTTGCAAGCCAAACTTTTAACAAATAGAAAATCCAGCAACAACAGAAAATACTAAAGATGAATTTAAAAATAATAATCTATTAAATGGCTCTTATTTTACAGAGAAAAACACATGCTGTTGTTTGGGTTTTTTTTACAGCCATACCCTGCTATCTGCCAGTGATGCATTTTTGTAAAGTGCAATGATAATGATAAAATAGAAAGAACAGCAGTTTTTCAATAAAGATTAATGTAAAAGGGGGAGGGGAGACTGTGTGCACAGACTTTAGAAAAACACTGAACAGAAATTCAGGAGGGATGATATATATAAAATGGAGGACTGAAAACCAAAAACAGGATCACCAACTGGAAGATATGCTGGCCTTTGGGAACATCTGACCATTGCCCCACTTCTCAGTCCTTCCCCTTTGATAGACTTCATTGACCTTGATTAACCTGAAGCAGTTGATGGTGACAACGAAATGCAGCTGTTCACAAACAGGCAGCTAGAACAACTGCATCTAGAGATTTATGGGATGCCTTCAGTATCATAAAGGAGGTAAGGGAGATCTTTCAAAACAGTGATCTGTCCTGGAACGCCAGCTTCAAAAATTTCAGTGGTACAAAGCCTGACACACAATTCAGCACAGCCTAACAGAACATCCTACAGCACCCAGAGCACAGCCCAGTAATACTTTAATTCCTCGGTTGCACCTCTCTAGTGATAACATTCTAAACAACTGCTCCATGCAGTGACAGGATATTCTGCATATGAAAAATGGTCTTTGTAACTCTTGTAATTAAACTAAAACTATTTTGTCTTGAACTAAAACCTGAAGATTCATAGAAGATGTAATGCTAAGGAGTCGCAATTGGCAAGGTTCTAAATTAAAAATTTATTTAGAAGTAAAAACTTTTTTTTTTTCTGGTTGCCTGAATAACACAAAGGTGGACCTCACATACTAGATAGTTTAATTTGCATAACAAAAAAACCTCATGTAGTCAATGTATTCTTTTCCCATAATAAAAAGAAGTTGTTGAAATAACTCACCCAAGATACACATTCATGCTATGAACACTCTCTGGAAATGGCTTGCCGCTCTCTAAATCAGTGATACCAGCTCCTTTCAAGTTCTCTTTCTGTTAGAAAACAAACAAAACACCAAACTTGAGTATTTTGTAGCACCTACTGTAAGCCCTTTTTTAGTATCAGACAATAGATCCACTTTGTAGCAACTCTAAGCAAAATATAATCATTAAAATTAGCAACAATACAAATCAGTTGAATGGCTAAAAGCTGTAGACACACTTTTAACCATAGTTTTCCAGCACACAGAAAAATAAGTCAATCTTTAAAGAATACTAGCTCATTCACAGATGATCCACTGCAATGAACTAGTATATTCCCTTGGCTTTTAAACTCAGTTTTTAATTGCTGTAGTATTGAATAAATCAAACCCTGCAAACAGAAAAGTGTCTGTCATAATGGCAATGATGGCATGGCCAGATATCAAGCTTAATTCTGCAGCTGTAGGTAATATTTAGAATACATTGTACCTCCAGAGAGGTACAGGGGAAGGTGTTTTTACCAAGCATTACACAGCTGGGGAAACCAGTGGATCAAGGGGCATAGACGCAATGTCTAATGCTAGTTACAGGGGGATCTATAGCATGAAAAAAGTCCTTCCATTTTGAGTTGATTTGGTATTCTATGTTAAGGACTGAAATCCTCCAAACCACAAATAACATTTCCTGGTGTAATTTATGATGCTTGGTATTAACAGTAAAAGTTGTCTGTAGACAGTAAAAACTTTCTCTTTTTTGTTCCTGTAAATTACATACTGACACTAGCATTGAAAATAATCTATCACAGATTAGAAACCTCCACACCAAGCTCAAATAATAACTATTTCACTGTCGTACCAGTAATGAAAATCTGGACCACTGATGCTAAAGTAATTTCAGTAGGGCAGAAGCTTCTTGAAAGGAAGTCCAAGCACTGCACATAATTTGCAAATAAAGAATCTTACTTGACCATCTTCCACATTCAGTGTCATGCAAGGAGTAACAGAGCCTATACAGATAAATAATTTTCCAAGTTACAGGCAGAGATTTAACTACAATGCAAACCTATCCACTCTTAACCACTATCAATGTATAAACTGTTTCCACAGTATCTTTTCAGGTATGGCCACTGGCTTTTGTGCAACCAGACTTCATACATAAAGCATCATCCTTTAAGTAAAAAAAGCCATACATTTCATCTCTAGATTTCAAGGCTTTTTAAACATATTAAAACTTCAATCCTTCAACTTAACATTACCTTACTGGCCATAAACCAATTGTTTATAAAACAGAAAAACAGCTACCTGTAAACAAACTAACAACAGGAAATGCCTGTAAACAACTAAAAACAGTTAGAAGGGATGAACATTTCAACACATGGTAACCACAACACGTTTAAATTTAAGAGATTTAACATTCAGGATTATTTAGTTGAGACAGAAACAATAAGTAACAGCACACACTAGCTCCTCCCAAAGATCAGATTCACAGTTTGCTTCAAAAAGATCCACAGTCATAAAATTCACTCTCATCATGCACCAAACAAGATGTGTCAAGAATTGCTTTCATGCATAAAAAGAATAAAGATAATGAAGCAGCCATTTTTAGATGCTTTAACAGTAGAAGACTACTGCATAAAGATACACAAAATAAGTTCCTATAGGACAGCAAATACCACCTTCATGCTACATAGGACTATAATAATTTCCACAATGCCACTACACCTTAAGACAAAGTAAAATACCTCACTCATTAGGTCATCCCCAGCAACAACAGCTATTTTCAAATCAACATCTGCTTTCTTTGCCACCTCCTGAAGGGCAGCTGCACAAGCAAGCGGATTAATTCCACCAGCATTGCTGATGACACGAACACCTAAACAAAAAAGACAAAGTAAGGTCAGCAGTGTCAACAATCACTTGTATTTTAAAAACTTAAAGCTTGCTGAAACACAAGCAAGATATCTTTGCAAGGTGTCGGATATCTAATCAAGTAAAGTATTAAAATCACTTTAAAATATGAGCCCCATTTAATTTGTGAAAGGACAGGGAATTTGCCAATGCAAAACTGTTTACAGAAAAAGAATTGTCATAGATACTTCTAATCTTTCCTTTACATATGGAAAGAGAAACTGACCAAAAACACATACATGATGAGGCAGGCAGACAGCATCAAAACAACTCCTACTGGAACAGTATTTGACACCAGCCATTCAAGCTTCCATGCTCCAAACAACTGCATTTTGGCAGAAATATGCATCTTTGTCTATAAATTCCAGACTGTGTTAACAAGGTATTGGGTACTTAAAAGTAATTTCCTTTCTCCTCTCAAGCTCAGAAAACTGTGAAGATATACTAATGTAAACAGGAAAAAAAGCAAGTGATCATAAAATAAGTGATATTCTAGAACCATATGGAAATGAAAAACTTCTAGGTTGCATTGAAAATGTCCAGATCTCACATTTTAACAAAGATCTGTAAAGCGATCTTCCTTTCACAAATCAAGGCTTCAATAAGATATATGTGGATATATATGTACTTATTTATAGTTATAACAAACGTTTCAAATTAACCCAATTTAAACATCACCATCGGACCTGCACTTCCTATCTATTTTGACAGCATTTTTGCTTATGTTTAGAACATTACTGCTACAGGGCAGCAAAATGTTGAGGTGAAAAACAATGTTCATAGTAATATAAGCCACACAAAACTCATCTAAGCAAGTGAACTTAATTAACATAAAAACTAACGCAAAGAACAGCATACCTTTCCTGTGAATATCTTTTATATAGGGAGCCATGGCAGTGGAGACGAAATCTGGAGTGTAACCTAAAACCTGAAATAAGGAAAAGCCGTAACTGCCTGTTATGGCTCAGTCAACCCCATCCCTTTCCCTGGTTAACAGAAGAGAGAACACAGAGAAGAACAACCAGCTCTCAAAACGTTTGGATACAGAAAAGGACATGAACGCTTTTACTAGATGAAAGTGAGTATGTGAAAATGGATAAACACATGCAAGTCATAAGTATACAGAAGTAAAGTTGATCCCGTGCCCTGGCATGCCTTAACCAGGCTGGGAGGGTGCCGTGGGCCGGAGGAGAGCCGGGGATGCCCCGGAGCCCACCCGCTCCACCGCGGGGCGCCCCCCGCCCAGCGCCACTCTCTCCCCCCAGCCGGGCCGGGGCTGGACAGCGGCTACTTACGGGAGACCGTGCTTTGGCGGCCGTCAGCAGCGACATGGTGATTTCCGAGAGATAATCGAAGACGAGGAAATCCAGCTTCCCCCCGTACAGCAGCTGCGGCACTGGCGGGGCAGGGGAGAACCCGACGTTAGCACCGCACCGCCCCTGCTCGGCCCGGCCCGGCCCGCCCGCGGGGCA